CAATGCTTAATGCTTTTCTTGTCTTCAATTCAGGGAAGGCAGCTTATTCTGTTATTTCATTTGTTATATGAAAACTATTTCAAGTACAAAAGACTGAGATTTCAAAATTGTTGTGAATCTTATAAAAAGGGTACAGAATCTGTTACATAATGTCTCACAGTGCATTTAGTGAAAGTGAAACTTTGAATATCATCCTTTCAAAATGCACGAGAAGTTGTCATTATTTTTAATTAACACACTCTCTCAGTAACCCTGCACTGTGTATGAGTAAAGCATCTCACCATTTCTTGTGAAAAGTTATCATTCTTCCCAAGAAGAAGTAAAATTTTAAACCAAAATACCTGGCCTATCATATATCGGAATCTTTCTCTTTGCTATCCGAACATCACAGGAGAAAAAGGCAAACATAAATTCTCAGAAAGAGAGGATCTGGGAATTGATCGCTCAGCTATATTTTCTTTCTGGGAGCACCATTCTTCAGTTGACTATGATACTTAAGGGGCCAAAGTTTAAAACTACTCCTCAGCAATAGAGACCATTTGGGGCATGCCACCCTGCCATAATCAATGAGTGTTTAAAAATGCTACCCATTTGTTTTTTCAATAGATTCCAAACAAAAAACGTTCTATCTTGTTTGTGCTGCATGGCTGCATTCAAGCTCTACACGGGATTTGTAGCTAAGCTAGGTAATGGGAGGGTTTTTAATCTTTATCTTTTTTTTTTTTTTTTCCAGTTAGGCTGAGAGTTTTCGTTCGAGTAAACAAAAGACGGTTTATTTCTGAAAATTAACAATGCTTAGACTAGACTGAACGTAGTGATTTCATATTTTAGCGAGTTACTAGCTCCATCATAGGCAACATGAAAGTCTGCCATGCCACCATGTTGTTATGATAATCACCATCTTTTCTGAAACAAAGATTTTTTTCCTCCAATGCAGAATTTGATACAAGAGGTAATCTGTTCCTTTGTGGGCAGAAAAAATCTGGTTTACGCTGGTTTGAACCAGTGGAATCTCTTGTGGTTAAGCCTTCTGCTGTGACTAAAATCAAAACTGCACTGCAGAGCATGTGAGGGTTCATGAGCGCGCGCCTCCATGTGTGAGGCGCGTCATGTGACCCCCAGAACTACCGAATTTTTTTTTAAAGCTGATAACGCGACTGCCGTCTCTGCCCGCATACAGATAACGAATAAATGCTGAACTCTATTAAACGCCCTTTACACATTATCGTGGGTCGAACACACAATTTTCTGAACTTATGATGACAGTCTATTTATTTTGCTATAAACCCTCAGCACGTAACGAACAGATTTGTGCCTGGTAATGGTCTGCTCTGCCAGGGCTATATGAAATGATACCGACCTTCTTTAGATCTTGGGGAATTAGATTGACCGACTTCACCCCCTGGTCTGTAGCTGAAGTTTAACACACTTTATGCACAGCAAGCCCAAATCGGAACTTAAGAGAACCTTGTATTAAAAAATTAAGCAATCATATCTGCTAAATATTGCTTTACCACAAAAATTTCGGCACGTTTAGAAATATCCTACTCTTTATGTATATTTTAAACCTTCCATTTAGGATTTACTCAAATTTATTCACTGAACAGTATAATTTTGCATATGGAAATTGAGAGACTATTAGGGTTCAAAAGCAGAGCATGGAACATTTTATTTGGTCCATTATCATACTCTGCTATGAAGGGGATTTAACTCTCTAAGATGTTTTTTTCCTTTTCTGAGAATGGTTTTCATGAAACTAAATCAAGTTAACAACTAATAAAGTTTTCACTCTAAATATAGTATCACTATATTTCAAAAAGTCAACTCTCTCAAAAACTAAAATATTGCCATACAGAATGGAAAATATCATATTTTAAAAGAATAGAATGATAATGCCTAAGACAATAGTCCCTGGAAAGCTGATGACTCAACTATACTCAAATGTGCAATGTAGGTAATTCTGTTGCTTCTTTGTAAATCAGGGATGAGCTATATTTGAGTGTATGAGATGGATATGAATCAGAAATGAATTTATACAAAGCAATTAATTTGGAATTAAATGAAATTGTGTACTGTATGAGGGACAATAAAGAGGCATTTGAAAAATTCTTAATTTCTGAAATCTTGATATTTCTAATCATGGCAGAAATGTTTATATATATGAGTAAACTACTATACTTTATAGTTAATTGGTAGATTATAACTATGTGGATAAACAGCCAGGTTTTAGATGCCTAAAAAAATGCAGTGCAAATGGCCAGAATGAGAAATAATAGCTATGGCATTAACATTTGTCTAAATCTCACAAAGAAGCCATTATAGGGAGGATGTGTATATTGCATCAAAAATAACTAAATAGCCAGTACTTAGTTTATTTTACCTATTTGTACCTATTGCTATGAATTCTTTATTATTTTCCTTTTCTGATCTATAGTTTTTAAAAATTGAGATATATCCCAATTACAATGAAACAAATATGGCTATTTTTGTCATTTTGTTTATCTCCAAGTTTTCTCTGTATATATTAAAAGTCAATCATAAATATTACATGGCCAAGAAGTTCTGAAAATCAATTTCTCAACAATTAACTTGAAAACAAACTTATTTGTGGGCAGAAAATATCTTCTTATATAAATTATAGGTAATCCTACCAAGACAAAACTATCTTCTCAGTCACTGAGCTACAAAAATTAACATGAAGAGCCTACTTAAAATCTTTTCTTCCTTTACAAAAAGGCCTTCTGTTTTGATCCCATAGTCTGGATGAATACTGATGCAGAATAAAGAGTTATTCTCAAGTGACCATTCCTGGTTAAGGATGTGTTTTAGTTTGTGGGATTTTGATTCCTATATTACGATAAAGAGCCTTAAAACAAAATTTAATGACTTTATTGTGATATGAATATTTTGCTACATTTGGTAACAAAATATCCAAAAAGTTGTGTGGTCTCTTTGAACTTTCAAACCTAATTCAAATTTTAGACTGAAAAGTTTGTGTAAGTGATAATCTAACAGTTACATAGTCTCATGACTGTAATTTATCATACTCTATTTATTGACATGACAGCTCCTTACAACTAAACTTCAGGTTCTCCAAGCACTTTCAGAATTTGTGAGTTTGATTTATACAAGTCCAGGGGAAATCTCTGCATAATCACTTTAAAGTGACAGGAATATAATTTGAAAAATTCAGAAAATATGAATTCAATCTATTTTTGTGGAATATTTTTCTTTAGGCATAGAAAAAATCATACTTATATGTATGTAAGGCAAATGTTTGAGGCACATAAAATGTCCATTAAGAGAAGTGAACATGCTTAAAGAAAAAAACAGATCCCTGTCATAGTACTACAACATCCGTTACAATAAAGGAGTCTGAGTTAGACAGGAACACCTCCTTCCTTTCTATTTCCTCTCTATTAGGCAGTAGTTTCAAATAAGGGAAAGATCTATAGCTTTTTAAAGAATTGACATGGGAGCTATGCATTCACTTTTTTTGCAAAAAAGATAATGCTTTTTTGCAGTAAAGATGGGACATAAAATTATGATTCATTCACTCCAGAGGTATGAGCAATCTAAATCTCACTTAAAATAAGAAAATATTTTTTCTCTCCTCACATTATTTAATCTATTATGAGTAAAACCCCTTTATCACATCACCCTTTTACGTTAGATGTGTTCCTTTTTTGTTTTTCCCTTAGCTATTCTCACATTTCAGTCAGGGAAGCTGAAATCCCAAGTCAAATCTTAACATGTTTACATGTCTGAACTCAAGCTGATAACATCCAAATAGTGGAGGAGGTGAGAGCTTTCCAAAAACAAACATAATCAGCCCAGTGACTCTCTCCCTTTTTTAGGATGGGTGGATGGGGGCCTTAATCAGATAAGCAACATCCCTGTTTACAATATTAACATTATAGCAGAGAGTAATATAGTTTCATCATATAATCTATTTGAAATGGTAAATACAATTACGCAATTTTTATAATGTGTAGTGATACGTTGTTTTACTATCTTATTAAAATTTTGGTTTACTCAATGAATGATTTATGTTCCTTTTTATTTAGGTAGAGTAGAGACCTTTACAATACTTGCCAAAGTAACATTAATAAACATGTTCAGGACTTGCTTCTGAAGTTCCCTATCATTTATTTTCTTTAAAAGTGTCAGAGAATCAGTTACTAAGGTTGTTTGAGTCATTTTTAACGTCATCTCTACACTGAGGCTCTTGAAACATTTTTTTTAAGTCATATATATTATCTATATGAATTAATGAAGTCTGTGTATTAATTCAAAGAAAGAAGTGGGACAATTAATTAAACTCATGACACTATTGTGTGATCCAATGAGAACTGACAGCGAAGTTGTAAGGCCCTTTTAAGAAGAAATTGTATCTTATTTTTTGCCTATGCAGATCTTAAACTGCAAAAAGACTTTTCCTATTATTATTACTATTATTGTTATTATTTGACAGAGGCAGGACCCCTATATGAGTATCCAAGTTCCACACTGGTACTTACAATTTGCATTTTGGTGAATGTATTTTTAAGAAGCTACACAATAGGAGACTGAGCTGCCCTGTTGAATTTTGAAAGCTTTACTTTCATTTGTTTTGCTGCAAATGTTGATTTAATTATACTGCATTATTATCAAAGCTGCATTATGTACTTTTTTATTCCTTTTACATGTGTTTGAGGTGAAGACCTTGGCTTTGTCTGCAAACAGTGTGTTTCAAGTTATTCCTTAAGTACTAAATAATAAAGAAAAGAGAAGAAAAGATTTTTTTAAAGATAGCAGACAGTGATCACAAGGTAAAGGGTTAAATGTAAGATCTCCAAGAAACATTTTGAAGTTGATTAAGACTCCAGCTTTGCATTAAACAGTATCGCTTCCACATGAGTTGCTGCTAATACTGTTAAGGAGCAGCTTGAGAGCCCAGTGTGCCAGTGACCTCCTTCACCCTCCAGCCACCCACCGGGCCTTCCTGATTAGCATTCTACCTGGTTCTCTGAGGAATTCCCATCATCCCCTAGGAGCTCATTCCGTACTTCGTCACTGTAGGCGATCCGTGACCTTCTCTATAAAACAAAACAAAAAGGGAGAGAGCAAGATGAACGTTGGAAAGTAGAGGCTTCGAAGCATTATTGGTATCAAGGCTGATCATCTCAAACCTCGAGAGCCCCCTGTTGGAAACCTATTTGCTAAAATCTGCAAACCAAAGTTGTGTAAAGTTCTTGAACTTGAGAAGTTTAATGTAAATTAGAAGTTTTTCAAATGCCATTAATGAAAGAAACCTCTGCATTGTGGAAGTACTCTATTAATATTCACAAACGGATTAGAACTGGTATATTATTCCATACATAGTCATTCACATAAGACCACTAAACTAAAGGAAAGACAGCTATACAGCTGTATATCTGCAAAACTCAGCAGATTACAATTAAAACAAGAGTATATGGGGGTCTTAATATTGTGGCAGGAAATGGACTATACAATACAGATCTTTTAAAATCTCTAATTCTAGGATAATATTATATCTCCAACTATACACTGGAACGTCTGGAAAATAGTACATCTATATTTCCTTCATTATTGTGATGTTACTAACCAGAAAGAAATGGAATTTAAAAGCCCATCCTATTTCCAAACAATAATTTAAATGCCTCCAAGTCCTCTATAAATAAGGGCCTAAGGAAAAGTAATGGGAGTGTGAGTGTGTGTGTGTGTGTCTGTGTGTGTGGTAAAACAAATCAAATTTCTCAATCCCAGTAAATAAAGACAAGTGGACTATGAGTCAACGGTTCACACACTGAAATTTTGTTTCATAAGAAATCTACTTTTACCTGTAAAGTCAGAGGGACATGTCTGCAAACAATTCATGAATTATCTACAGTATACAAATGTACAGACATTTTCAAAAGCTAAAAGGCTCTGAACATTAGTTGTGAAGCTAGAGTGCCATCCTCACATCCTCCTTCAGCATCACTATCGCAGCATCACTATTGCAGACTCAAATGCAGATTTACAGGTTACTTTGCTGCCTTTTCTGCTTCTGAACTAAGCAAAAACTGTCAATTAAAAAATGGCAGTTGGGAAACAGTAATCTTTTCTCACTTGGGGTCTTTAGTTCACGACTTAAAATTTCTTACCTGTTCAACTGCAATCTGAAAAATTATTGTAGTTTAAAAACACTATCCATAATCTGTGAGCAGAAGTCAATAAGATTTTTAATTAGATTTTTAAACTAGTGAATGAGTGACACTGCTTTGCCACATAGAGATCATAATGTCTTAAACATAAAAATCATATTATATTAGAATTTTTGTTTTGTTTTGTTTTGTTTTGTGTGTGAGATCAGCCCTGAGCTAACATCCATGCTAATCCTCCTCTTTTTGCTGAGGAAGACCCGCTCTGAGCTAACATCTATTGCCAATCCTCCTCCTTTTTTTTCCCCAAAGCCCCAGTAGATAGTTGTATGTCATAGTCGCACATCCTTCTAGTTGCTGTATGTGGGACGCAGCCTCAGCATGGCCGGAGAAGCGGTTCGTCGGTGCGTGCCCGGGATCCGAACCCGGGCTGCCAGTAGCAGAGTGCGCGCACTTAACCGCTAAGCCATGGGGCCGGCCCATATATTATATTAGAATTTAAAAGGACTTTCAACAAGAAAAACCGATAGATTTTAAATCATTTTAAAGCTGCAGCCTTTCTCAATTGGGGTTCCTCATCTGAATGAACCGATAGATTTTAAATCATTTTAAAGCTGCAGCCTTTCTCAATTGGGGTGCCTCATCTGAATGCCAAAACACAGAAAATTATTTCAGTAACAATAATTTCTCAATTCTCCCAAGGATGGTACATAGAGAATTTAGTTCATTACATAGAACAGAAGGCTTAGGGCATTAGGGCTTAACTCTCTGGCAGAACTCAGCTGAAAAGGGCTGAATGGAATATAAATAAAAATAAATTAATCTAGACACTCCTTTATTTTTTAGAAAAAAACACAAAAAAAGCCAGTCTCAAGGAGTTCTAAAGGTAGCTTTGCTTAAACTGAGACTAGTACCCTGGGGTCCTGACTCCCAGCTCAATGCTCAATTTACCACACAGAATTCCCTCACCGTGTTATCACCCTTTGGATACACTCAGGAAAAAGATAACAAAAACTGCAAAAGGAGATGGCAGCATCCCTTCTCTGCCTTGAGTCTCCACTCCAAGCCCCCCTTCCCTGCCACAAATGTGTATCTTATACCTTGGCAAATGCAATAAGAGTGTAAGCAGACAAATAAAACCAACAATGTTGCAGAGGGGACAAAGTAGAAAAGTTAAGTCATTAGCCTGAGGTCAATAATGAGAACTATATCAGATGTCTCAACAATTCAGGAGTGACACAACTCATTCATGTCTGAATACTCCAGACTTCTTACCACCACAAACAGCATACTATATTAAGCCTGCCAGTAATAAGTAAGTTCTCTTACTGTATTTACTGAAGCTACTATTAATTCGTTATTTCTATTGACTTCATAAAGAATTGTATGGAAAAATGCTAAATTATAAGGACACTACACTTCATGGCCTGACTACAATATTTAGATCAAGCCAAACCTTTCTTTTGCCTATTTGGAGATCCCCACTACAGTAGTTTCAAACTAGCTAAGCAAAAGTATTTTACAGCATTAAAGGAAATGAGAACCTTTAAACAGGCTGTGGTATCAGAGCTGCCTTTTTAATTATTCATTTCATCACTATGGGGGACTAAAACATTCCACAGTATGCAAGAATATCATATGGAGATTGTTTTTGTTTTCCCCTTTTTTCACCAAAATACCAACAAATTGGCATAGACTATTCAATTACATTATATTCTTATTTTGATTTACTATACTTCAAAAGAAGAAGAAAATTACAAACGTGTATCCCTAAATACCTAATCTTGTTTTGGTTAGAATCCATTGCTTTTGAAAACCACCAATTAAGAGTGTACATGCTCAGCAACAGAGGAGAACTAAGCATTTATCCACAGTTGAAGGGTGGTCCCTATAAATGTCATTCTTTACATTGGGACAGTAAAAATTGGTCATTTGGATGGCTTTCTAGATGCAATTAAGCAAATGATATGCTGAATTTACAAAATGTTCTCTGATAGGGCTGACTTCTCTTAAATAATGAAAAGACAACTCATTTTAAATATCAGAAATAATTCCTCATGAAAATGATACAACCAATGCTGAAAACTGAACTCTTTACACTCGAGTATCATTTTACAAAAATTTTAAAAAATCAAGACTTTGTTTTATTAAGAATTATATTTAAATGCCTGACATTGGTATTTTCTCCCAATTTTTTATGGTTTGAAATTTCAAGAAGGCTGATTGTAATCAACCATAATTTAGCCTGCAGGATCATCACTAAACTAATTGAATAGCAAAAAAGGCAAATTGCTTTGAATGACAAACGGCTTACTTTATGAATAATTTTCCTCCAAAACATCAATAAATTATTTTACCGTTTATGGAATTTTTAAAAACCTCACTTTACATTACTAAGTACATACTTTAATTTGGAAGATTCAAAGTTAATGAAACTGAAGCATCTACTGTATCTTGATAAACTAACTAAACTATTTTTACTTTATTATCAACTGTATAAAATCTGTACTTTAGCCAAATGCAAGCATGAGAATTTGAGCTGGAAATGTCACACACTCAGCTACAGTTTGAAGGAACCCAATTCATAATGCATTTTATAAATAGTTAATGACTTCTATACATAAGCTAACCAGGCAAATCAAGAAATTGTCAACATTTTTAGTCTTAGTTGTCAGTTACCACTGTCTACTGGTGCTTTATATGTGGCTTCTGGAGAAGACAGAAGCTCTATGCAGTTTGTAATCTACTGCAATTTTGGGTCTGTCCCACAAGGGTGGAAAAGCTTCAACTGACAATACTTGCCACACACACACACACAGAGTGTTAAATATAAGAGCATTCCTCACTTTTAGTTGTGTGTTTGTGTAAAGCTTATTCTTCTAATTTATACACTTAGGTGGACTAGACATAGTTGGACAGAAAAATCTATAGAACATATGTGAACTACAGAAAAAATATGACAAATTAACAACTGATTGTTATCCCTAAGTTAGATGCACAAAGTTTCAATGGCTATTATAAACTGATGACACAAGTGAGTCTTTGATTATGAAAGTGGACTTTAGATTCCAAGCAGTTTTCACTTGGTATATGAACAGAACTTTTGCATACTGATTGGCTAATTTTCTTAAAGCCAAGTTCAAACAGATACACTTGCTCAGTTCTGTCTGAAAATTTGGCTTGAAACAATCTATCTACTTGACCCAAGACTTAACATTTCCCAACTGAACTGAATATATTCCTGGATAGACATTGCTAAACTAGAAACAAAACGAATTAACTTAGCTTAAACTAATTAAGAACTGTGATCTGTGGGACCACCTCCTGTATGATTCTACATGTGAAACAGGGTATACATAACTAGAATGAGGATTCTAAACCCACCACTAGCATAAGCATAACAATGAAGTTGGTTTATTACTAAAGCATATATGAGAATTTAATTTCCATGGCGTGCACATGGCAAAGCAATTGCTTAAATTGCCTCACCTGGGAATTTAATACAATGTTATCATCAGACCAGCCACATTGTAAATAGATTTATAATGCTTTCCATGTGCTGCACACTGTTGCATACGAATTAAGTAATGATCTGGTATTACAATAAAATCAGCTAGTTCCCACACCTGGCAGACAGGATATTTCACTAAATTAAGACCCGTACAGCTACATCACAAGGCGTGGGAGAGGAAAGCATCTCTAAGGCATTCAAGTTGAGTTTTACATGGGAGGCAAACACTCCATGGCTATGTAGAATGTCACTATGTTGAATGGGCTGCTCAAGACAATCTGTTTCTAACATCTGTATCACAAAATTAAGACTTTCTCATTTCCATTCAATTTTGGCCTAATTTTCTTCATTCAGTACTCTAATTACTAATCAGCAATCCACAACATTCACAAACACTAAGAACACCCTTCATTCTAATCTA